CGGGCCCGCCCCCCCCCCCCCTCCTAGCAAAAGACAGCCTCGATTCCTTCTTGGATCGTGTTTGCAACTGTAGGTAAGAATGCCTCAAAGACCCTCGTCTCGTTTGGACCACATCAGTTTCTGAATGTGGTGCGCATCAACGGATCATGGTGTTCCGCCTTTCCCGACGAGCTTTGCAGCTTGGTCGCTTCAACTCGGCTTCAGATGCAAGGCAAGACCCTGGAGTACATTCCGTTCCATGCTTGAGTAGGACTAAAGGGTTCTTTTCGGGCAGGAAGGAGATTTTAGGTAGAGTTGCCTTGCTTCTACTCGTAGCTCCCTAAACCCTAAACCCTATGAACTACTGTGCAGCCAGTATATAGAGCCCCGTACACCCCTATAAAGCCGTGCAAAAACCTGGACAAAACTCCAGAAATATCCAACTCCCTCTACCGGGGCTTGCGTATGTGCCCCTTGGGGGCGTCTGGGAGTTTCTGACATGTCGAAGTCATCCTTGGGTCAGGGTTTGATACTGTTGATGATACAAATTCTGCATTACCTTACGGACCCTAAACTATGGGAATTATGGTATATTCCTTATTCTGGGTAGTGCAGTTCATATCATCAACCGTAAAGCTTTCTAGTGTAGGTTCCTGTTACCCACCGCAACGACGTCAGCCTTGTTCAGTTCCTCAGGGCTTTGGATTTGGTACAGAAGCCTGCATAATTCGCAATAAAGCCCCTTGGGCTTGTATTATACTTCTATACTTCTAGTTTCATATACCCCCAAACCATATTCGAATTATTCAGACCTTTATACCCCTATAGTACTCCATAATTACAACCCTGTACATAGAGCTCTTCTTTGGGAAGCCTTCTAAAAAACCCTGTTCAACACGTCAATACCCCTGTATCCGGCTCACTTGCTTGGGCTTTAGGTTGTCGTATCATTGGGCTCTTATTAAGCAGCTAAAACAAGCAACCATGCTTAAAGGGTCACGGGTTTAGGGTTTAGGGTTTTGGTTTAGGGTTTAGGGGTACAGATGAGGTAACTTGTACTTTCCCAGTCCTGTTCAGAATACCATGACTGTACTTACTAAGTTTCGTGAACCTCCAAGTAATGGCGACATTTACTGAATCAGATGTTTTCCTCGTTCGGGTACTTTGCAGTACCTTCTTTAGCAAGATCACTCCAGCACCATTGCAAACCCAAGCAAGCCACTTTCAAGACCACCTCATACATCCCAGAAAGTCAACCCCCCCGCCAAAGAAAAGAGCCGGGAAAAACAAAATTTGGTGTTGGCTTCAGACCTTCTGACCCTAAACCCCAAGGCCCTAAACCGTAAAGCTTAAACCCTTTTCCCTAAACCCTTAAACCCCTTATCCCGAAACCCTAAACCCTTAAACCCCTTATCCCAAAACCCCCCAAAAAAACCCTAAACCCTAAACCCCTAAACTCGTGTCCCAAAACCCACTTCACTTCTACATTTTCGAGGCGAGGGGCTCCCCAATGCCTTGGCCGCAGCCTTCGTCGCCCGGACCTCGGCACCGGTGGGTTTTCGGTAGAATGTGTATGTGTGTGTGTGTGTGTAACGTGTGGGAGCCTTAATAATTAGAAAGAGGTTCCTTTAAGAGGGATACTATAAGGGTTACCGTAAGGGTTCTATAAAAATTGGGGCCTTGAAATAATTAGAACAGGGTTCGGGGGTTCCTTCAAAGGGTTCCTTAAAGGTTTCTAGAAGGGCTACTATAAGGGTTCAGGGTTGAGCAGGTTTTAGAGGTGTTTATACCGGTGTTCTAGTGATTCCGCTATGTTTAGGGTTCTTCGGGGTCGTAGGGTTTGGGGGTTCAGGATGTTGGGGCCAGGGTGGACTATCGCATCCCCTGGGCGTATCCTTGGATTTTGTGTCTTGTACTGGACTTGCAGTGGCTTTCGATATGGGGTTTCCGAAAATAGGGGACCTAATATAGTAGCCCAAATAGTAGGATCCTTATTATAAGGACCTCAAGGTAAGGTACCCCTTGTTTTCGGAAACTCCCATAATATGACCTAGATAGCATGTCTCAGCAGCTTGCGGCGCTCACGACGATGCCATGTGACATTCCACGGCCTGGAGGACTGAACCGTAGACCCACTTTCAGCCGCAGTCAGCAGGACAAGGAGAACGTGGACAGAGCCTCCAGCTTCAGGAACCCATGCGATAGCAACAGCCTCTCTTGGCCAGGCAAGGCTGCAAAAGCACCCAGGTCTTCAAATGCAAATGTCCAAACTCAACAAAACCCATCGGATTGTCATAGGAGTTTCTATTCGGAAGTCCAACTCCAAAAAAAAAGCCCCGCGGCCCCCAAAGCAAAATCGCTCCAAGGCCTTGAGTCATTGAACCACCCCACCCGACTCCAAAGCCTCAAGGCTGAACCCGACGGCCTTTTTTAATTTCAAAAGAGTTCTGGGGGGTTCCTTATATAGAAGTATAGTATAATATACCCCAAAACCACTTCTAATTATTTAGGCTCCTAAACCCTAAACCCTTATAAAACCCTTTAAGGAACCCTTTTGAAGGAACCCCCAAACCCTGTTCTAATTATTAAGGCCCCAATGTTTATAGAACCCTTATAGTACCCCTCTTAAGGGAACCCGTTAAGGAACCCTATTCTTACTGTCTAAGGCCCTTCTAGTCCTGTTGCAAGGAATCGGAAGCACCAGCCCTCATCATGCCATCATCTCAGCGGCTTGTCTGCGACTGGGGCTGTGACAACCTCCCATTGCTGTAAAAAAAGGGGCCTGAATAATTACCGATACCATTGTGGATGTAGGGTTTAGGGTTTAGGGAAATGAATATAACATTGGGGGTATATTATATTATCGTAGTATCTATAGTATAATATACCCCACAAAAGCCTATTCAATTCAGGCCCCTACATTAGACAAGAGCTACGCTTTGAGGCCGAGGGTTTGGGTGGCAATATGGGGGCCCGTTTCTTACCTATACTGTTTTGGGGGAGGGGGGTTCTTATTGTAGTTATAGTGTAATATAGAACCCCAAACCCTATTTTTATTCAGGCCATCATATTGCCCTTACAAAACCCTACAAAGCCGTTTGAGGTTTCCGCAGTTTCGCGCGTGCGCACACACACACACACACTCGATTCCACAAGCGATGTCACGGTCGTCATGGACAGCAACAGCATGATCACCGCTGTCCTGGTCACGACCCACATCACTCAGCAGACTCTGAAGCGTTAATATCGAGGTCGGAAAATAATTGGTCATACTGTCCCCTTGTCCCTGCTATAACAAACTTCATTTAACTCTGAAGTGTTCGGGTTTAGTTGGCTTCGAGGGTCGTGGGACTTAGTAAGTAAGGTTATAATAAGTACCCAAGTTGGTGGCGTTAAGAAGTTATAAGTACTGTAGGGGTCGTAATAATTACGAATTCCATTTTGGGGGGGTTCCTTATTGTAGTTATAGTATAAAGCAGCCCAAAACCCTATTCTAATTAGTAAGGCCCCTACATTACAGCAGTTCCGAGGTCCCGAGGTAATGACTAATAACATCATAGCGTGCGACCCCGTTGTGTAGACGTTGATTACAGGGTGTTGTTATGGGGCTGCTTACGCAAGGGTGTTGTGATAGGGTTTTGTTTATATGGGTTTTCTGGGGTAACTAGTAGCTAGTAGTAGTATTCCTTGTAGATTACAGCACCCCCAAACCCTACTCAAAGCGTCGTGGCCACTGGGTTAGCCCAGACAGTCACGCAAGATTCGCGCCCGAAACACAGGATTTCGCAATGTTAAGCAGCCCTAAACCCGAAATGAGCCTTCGCCACGAAGGAGTTAAGTGGCCCCACGCACTGAACCCGAAAGAAACCCAGCCTTTGTGCCGAATCTGCTGACGACAACCTAAGGAGTCCCGCCTTGACGAGTTCATGCGGGCAGAAATCAGCATCTTCGCCGCCTGACATGACGCAGAGAATTTTCCTTTTAAGTTAAAGGAAACGACAGGTGGGGAGTTTAGGGTATATAGGGCTTCTATAAGGCTTCTATAAGCTATATAGACCTTCTATAAGGCTCCTATAACGGTAACCACCCACCTGAAAATGTCCTAGAATAAGGAACATTAGGGTTTAGGGTTTAAGGAACATGCCTCAGCTGTTGGCAGAGTTGAAGAAGGAGCCACGGACAACAAGCCGATCTTGTTCCGTGGTATTCCGGGCGCCAGTGTGAGCATAGCATCGCGATAGCTAGGGTTTAGGGTTTAGGGTTGAAGAAAGCCATGGGAAGATTATTCACAGAAATTGCGGCAATACTATTCGAGTAAAGGGCTCAGCTTCCACACCTTGCATCCTGGGAGGAGGAGCTCACGGCCGGAATCGCTGTCTAAATCCTTCAAACCCGAAGCACTGAAGCCAAACCCCCAAAACCCCCAAACCCAACAACTTGCGGAAAGCCCTAAAGACCCCCAAGCTAGCTGTCAAAGCCTGGGCCAAAGCCGAGCCTCAGCCACGAAGATGCAAATCCCAAAACCCTAAAAACCTCAAATCAATCCCTAAGCCCCAAACCCTAAACACCTAAACCCCTAAACCCGAAACCATTCCCAAAGCCCCAAAACTTCCCAAAACCATCTCCCGGAAACCTGAAAGTCGAGTCCTCTTTGTATGAAGTCATAGGGTCTAGGGTTCCAGAATAGGGACGCTGTGGGGGCCCAGTGCTTGCCACAGAATTCAGGGGTTTGGGTTTACCCTTCCTGACTGGCCCTGTACAAGTACTCAGAGTATCCCCGGAAGGTCCAAACATACTGTTACTAGAAATACACCCCAAAAGATGTGCTTTAATTCGTAAGGCCCCTAGACTAGAAACTCCGCCCCTCCCCAACCACTAAACGTAATGGTAACTGCCATACGGCTAATACTCCCCAAACCCTACTCTGATCATGAAGGCCCCGATGTCAGAAACCCTACCCTAACCCCCCCCCCCCACCACCTTGCAACCGGTTTAGGGTTTAGGGTTTAGGGTTTAGGGTTTGCCGCTAGGCCAAACGGCGGCCACCCTTGCCCCTGCGCCTCGTCGATGTGGCGTCTCGGCCATGCCGGTAAAGGCTTAGGCGTTAGGATTCCTTACCAGAGACTCCAATATCCCTTAATTAAGGAATCTACCTTGAATCATCATGGGGATCCTACTATACTTTAAGGTATATTCCTTGATTCTCATAGTACCCTTATGGATACCCTTAAAGGGTGCTACAAGAATTCGATGGGGTTTTGGGGGTAGGATGTTTATGGTCGTCAGGGGTCTTGGTGGTTTGGCGCTTTAGGGTTTTGGGGTGCAGAGGTGTTCGTCTGTTTGGTGGTTCTGGTTTAGGATTTGGGGTTTTGGTGTGTAGGAATTTTGGGATTTGGGGAGTTCAGGTTTGAGGGCTTAGGGCTTTGAGAGAGATTGGGTTTTTGGGTGTAGGGTGTTTAAGACTTGCGGTGGTTTAGGGCATTAAGGGTTTAGGAGTGTTCTTGCAGAAGGGTGTAAGGAAGCTATAAACTCCGTGTCTATAAGGACCCTCACATTGGGATCCTTACTATGACCCCCATCAAAGGGGGGGGGAGGTTTATTGCTCTACATTGAGAAGGGCCAAAAATTAGGAGGGAAGGTCTCGGGTAGTGCGGGGGGTACGAGAGCATTACATCCGGACTGCCGAGCCCGAAATCGCAGCAAGGAGGCTGACCCCCCAAGCAAGGTTCGTAGGCCGTTTGAGAGAAATCTGTGTCCTTCCCTATGGTTTGCTCGAGCACGTCAGGTGTCGAGCATTCCATGACTTAGGGTAGCGGGGCTTGGTTGGGTTCCACGTCGCTCTTGTGAGGATGACGGCCTGTGGTTCGGGATGTGCGGTGGGTTTTGGAAGGGTACACTCTGGTTACACTCAAAGTTCCCGCTGCCGAGGAGTTTGTGTGTGTGGGTGCAGGCGCGTTAGTTCTTTCGTCGCTGTCTCAATGACTCCCGACCTTTGGGGCACTACCTGTCAACTACAACCATTTTCTTAAGTCGTACTAGAGTGCTCGTTCCTGATTGTGCCGCTGTTAGTGGTGTTGTTGCAGCTGCAGTTGTCGCAGATGACACTGGTTGTGGTTGTGCCGCAAGTGATGATGGTGCTGAAGTTGCGCCGGAGGTGGTGGTGCATGTTGTTCCTGGTCTCATGTTGCCAAAGCAGTCGTCGCTCTAGCAGCACCTGCAGCAGCAGTAGGGGTACTGGTAGGCGTCGGCATGACAGAGCACTAGTACTGGGTGGCATCAGGTCAGCGCATCCTCGTCGCCGCAGAGGCTTGCACGCCTGGTTCACGAGGCATCCGCTGGCAGATCGATGCAGATCTAAACAGAGGTCTTTTGACGCGCATGCCTGGCATTCCTGACATGGTAGGAACAAAACTATAGATATTAATACTGCGATGCGAACATGTACATGAATTATAACAGTAATAATCATAGTAACAATAATATTAACAAATAACAGTAACAACGATAACAACAGTAAGAATGTTTTGACTGTTATGGTAGTAGCAAAAATTAGTAATAAAGACAACTGTAATAATACTATTATAAATACTAATACTAATACTAATGACAGCAACGAATGATAACAGGAATAATAGGAATGAATAACTCAAGTCATCAGGATAGTAATAATAATAATGATAACGAAGCTTCTTCCCTTGGTACATGTCCAGGCAACTGTATGCTTCGCAGCCTTAATCGCGAAATCTCGGAAGGAACCCACAAGACTCAGTGAGTCATAAGGGTTCAGCAACAGAAACACTCGCAGGCTCATGAGTGTTTCACACCAGACGCAGCGAATTCAAGCAAGGAGAGCGGTAGCTCCTTATTAAGGAGAGTGGTAGCTCCTTATTGTTTGTAGTATTCCCTAAACCCCTAAAACAGTGAGTGCAAAAGAAAAACGAGTTGCTCACGAAGCTTCAGGCATTGAGCACTTTTGGACCACTGCCTCCCTCTTTTGGACTTTTGTACCAGGCAAGCCTTAATATAGGGGCCTGAACAACTACCCGGACTTGTTTAGGGGTTCCTTGTCTAGTTTTCGTATAATGGGCCCCGAAACCCTATTCTGATTCTTCAGGCCCCTATATTTGCGCGTGTTCAGGAGCTTCCGGTACGCTTCGCACGGCGACTGAAGCACATCGAGAGGGTGGAGGGCTGGGAGCCTTCGGCGGCATATATTACGATTACGATCACGATTACTATTCTTGGCATTCTTCTGATTGGCTCTTAGGACTTCAACTTTCTGAGTTTCTAGATGAACTAGAATAAGTAAGCTAAAAGTTTAACTTTTAGGAGAGGTTCAGAAGTTTAAGTCCACTGACCTTCCAAGCAAAACACAGTAATCCCTACGGCTCATGATATAAATCCTGCATTACCCATAATAAGGAGAGAAACCATAGTTCCCATAGTTTAGGGCTGTCAAGGTAATGCAGGAATTGCATCATCAACAGTAGCACTTCTGATTTTGCTGAGCATGGGCTGGTCCTCACTTTGTGTCAGCTGATCATGTTTTTACCTTGAAGAGGAGCCATAGACCCAGAGACTCCAATACCCCTTAATTAAGGAATATACCTTAAATTAGAGTAGGATCCCTCATATTATTTAAGGTATATTCCTTAATTAAGGGATATTGGAGTCTCTGGGGGGAAGCCTGAATACTTAAATTCTTCCTTCAGGCTCCCCCTAAACCCTAATGCTAAAGCCTAAACCCTAACGAATCATGTTATACTTTACCCCTACTTGGAGGATCATGCGACTTAGTAAGTAAGGTTGTAAGTCCCCTAATTGGGGTTACAAGTATAGTTACCTTAGCTATAACCCTACTTACTAAGTCCCATGATCCTTTAAGTAAACCCTATTTCTGTTGATTAAAGCCCCTTGCGTCGGAGCCAAAAATCTTGATGTCTTACAAGTAATATAGGGGCTCAAAACATTACCTATACTATGTTGGGGGTTCCTTATAATAATTATAGTACAGTGGACCCCAAAACCCTAATCTAATTTTAAAGGCCCCTATATTATACCAGTATCTGGCACTAAACCCTAAACCCTGAACCCTGAACCCTAAACCCTAAACCGATCTGGCCCAAAGCCCCCCTTCTTGCTTGTCGAGGCCCTTTTATGTTACATGGGCTGAAGCGATGACTTCAGGAGCTAGCATAGGTTCAGTATCACCTTCGAAAATCCTGTAAAATTCTGAATGCTGTAATGTACCCCCCCAACCCTATACTAAGCCTTCAGAAGAACCGCTATAGCGACCTTTTAAGGAGTGCTAGTCTGATTTTTCATATCCCTGGGGAAAAGTATAGCAACTACCCTTATATAGCTGCCTTCTAAGGGTGCCAGTCTCATTCGGTTGAGCCGCTTGGTCTCCTGGCTTCAGCTGCACCGAAATTCATTAGGAACCCAAAAAGGACATAAGCAGAAGCATTTTGTAGGGATATCCCTACCTTATTGGGCTTCATTATAAGGGGATTTATATGTGATATCCCTATCCAGTTGTTTGCTTATGTGCTTTTTGGGGCCCTAATTCAACCAGACCAGACAGGGCTCCTGGCTCTTCAACGGCTTCCTTGAGGTTAGGAGGTTTAGGGCTCCTTAAGGGATTATTGACATTAATTGAGGTTATCGGGGGTTTCAGGTTCAGGGTTAGATGCCACATCTTTACGTTTGGAACCTTGAACCTGCACGTCAATGTCATGAAGCACAATCAGAAACCCCACCTAACCCTAAACCCGAACCCGGTTTTAGGGTTTAGGGATTAGGGCTTTCAGTTAATCTTCACGCCCAACTCATCGTATTTGTAACCCCGATATCTTACTTCACTGTTTCTGTTGAGCATGTCCGTTACCGTGGAAGTTGGGCTGCTCAGTGGCAAGACTGTGACCGTTGAAGCAGACTTGGACGAACAAGTCTGGACCTTGAAATGTCGGGCACAGACGGCGCTTGGAGTCACGGGCAGTCTGATCGACGACTCGGGAAGCATTCTAGATGTACATGTAACAGTCATGAAAGCCGGAGTCCAGCATGGTGACAGACTAACATTGCATGTGACTCGAGGTCAAATTCAGGCTTCCGGTCGGGCTTTCGTGGCCTTGCTTGGCGGATCTGGGTTGACCTGGGGTGATGCTGACTACAACATTGAAAGTAGTCGCGTGCATTGCCAGCTGACGAATGTGCAGCAGGTCCAAGCTAATGACCGCGCTTTTGCTGCCATTCTTGGCGACGGATCCGTGGTAACCTGGGGGGATGCTTCCGCTGGTGGTGACAGCAGTCCAGTATACTTTCAGCTGAAGAATGTGCAGCAGATCCAAGCTGCTTACAGCGCTTTTGCCGCCCTTCTTGGCGGCGGATCCGTCGTGACCTGGGGTAATGCTCAGTTTGGTGGCGACTGTAGAGCTGTCCAGGGTCAGCTGAAGGATGTGCAGCAGATCCAAGCCTGCCAATATGCTTTTGCTGCAATTCTTGGGGATGGATCTGTCGTGTCCTGGGGTGATGCTGGTCGTGGGGGTGACAGCAGTGCTGTGCAGCACAAGCTGAAGAACGTGCTGAAGATCCAAGCCTCTGAGGGCGCTTTTGCTGCCGTTCTCGCTGACGGATCTGCCGTGACCTGGGGTGGTGTTGGCTACGGCGGTAACAGCAGTGCTGTGCAGGATCAGCTGAAGAATGTGCGGGACATTCAGGCGTCGGAAGGCGCTTTTGCTGCCATTCTTGCCGATGCCTCCGTCGTGACCTGGGGTTCTTGCGGATTTGTTTTGAACAGTCGTGCGTTGAAGGCACCACTCAAGCATGTGCAGCTTGTCCAGTCCTCTGGCAACGCCTTTGCTGCCCTTCTTGAAGACGGTTCCGTGCTGACCTGGGGTGCTCCTGGTAGCGGTGGTAACAGCGATGCTGTGCAGGCAAAGCTGAAAAACGTGAAGGAGATCCAAGCCGCCCGGCACGCTTTTGCTGCCATACTTAGCGACGGATCCGTGGTGAGCTGGGGTCATGCTGAATTTGGTGGTGACAGCAGTTCTGTGCAGGATCAGCTGAAGAATGTGCAGCAGATCCAAGCCACTCACTTTGCTTTTGCTGCCATTCTTGATAACGGATCTGTCGTGACCTGGGGTGACCCTCGCAATGGTGGTAGCAGTAGCGGCGTGCAGGATCAACTGACGAATGTGAAGCAGATCCAAGCCACTCGCTTGGCCTTTGCTGCCATTCTGAGCGATGGGTGCGTTGTGGTTTGGGGTGCTGCTGACTATGGTGGTGACAGCACTGCTGTGCAGGATCAGCTGAAGTCTCGGTAGCGGCTCAGCGTGGCAGCTGCTCCAGGCCTCCCTTCTGGCCGACTTCTCTAATTACCTATACTATGTTGGGGGCTCCTTATTATAATTATAGTATAGGGGACCCCAAAACCCTATATTCTAAGTATTAAGGCCCCTATACGGGTGACTAATAATGCTGCTGGCGCAGGTGACTTGCGCCTGCGTCTCAGTATTGGTGCTTCAAGCCTGGCACACAAAATTCCGGGTCGTCATCATGTGACTCATGTGTGGAGGTTTAGGGCGTAGATATTTGTTTACGGTTTCAGGCTCTTGGGTTTGAGACGTTGGGCATGTTACGTGGAGATTAAGATTCAAAGCGCACGTGCAGCTACGAAACGGGTGCTGTGCACATTCAGCGAAGTTGGCATGCGCAAGTTCGGCTGCGGAACTCTGCAAACGGGAAGCTCAAAGAAACGTGACCCTGGTTTTCATGTTCAACACCTGTAGTCGCATTTCGTGCAGAATAGTAGGTTATTGGATCCACACATAAACCCTGAGCCTTCCGTAGACATGTTTAAAAGAAGCCCAACAACAACCTCAGGACATCACGGAGACACCCTACAAAACCACGATGCCCAAAACCCTGAACCCTATCCCCGACGCCCAACCCGAAACTCTAAACCCTAAACCACAAAACCCCAAACGTGGATAGAACCCGTACCATACCCCTTCTAGGAGCCCTTTCAGGGAACCTGTTGAAGGAGCCCTTTAAAGAAATCCTAGAAATCTCCCTGACAAAAACCCCTGTACCCGGAACCCTAAACCCGAAACTCTACACCCAAAGCCAGTAAACTCCTAAAGCCCATAAATCCCTTCAAAGGCACCCATATAACTCCCTTCAAAGGCACCCTTATAGATCCCTTCAGAGGAAGCCTCCTAGATCCCTTCTAGGAAGATCCTTTAAAGAAGGAACCCGTATAGATCCCTTAAAGAAGGAACCCGTATAGATCCCTTAAAGGAACCCTTATAGATCCCTTCAAAGGAAGCCTTATAGATGAAGGAACCCGTATAGATCCCTTCAAAGGAAACCTGAAAGCCCCCTTAAACAAGGAACTCGTATAGATCCCTTAAACCCTAAACCCTAAACCCTAAACCCGAACCCGTATAGATCCCTTTAAGGAACCCTTATAGACTTATAGATGAAGGAACCCGTATAGATTTAGATCCCTTAAACCCTAAACCCTAAACCCTAAACCCTAAACCCTAAACCCTAAACCCTAACCCGTATTGATCCCTTAAAGGGGGCAGCTCCAGGAGCGAGTCCCAGAGCTTCAGGAGCTCCACGCCATGCACGCCCAGTCCTTCCGGGACCGGGGCTTTAGGGTTTTTTGGGGTTTAGGGTTTAGGGGTTTAGGGTTTAGGGGTTCAGGGGTTTAGGGTTTAGGGTTTAAGGGGTTTGGGGGTTCCTTAAAGGGCCTCCTTAAAGGGAGGGTTTAGGGGTTTGGGGGTTTCTTAAAGGGCCTCCTTAAAGGGAGGGTTTAGGGGTTTGGGGGTTTCTTAAACGGCCTCCTTAAAGGGAGGGTTTAGGGGTTTGGGGGTTTCTTAAAAGGCCTCTTTAAAGGGAGGGTTGAGGGGTTTGGGGGTTCCTTATATTAAATGGCCTCCATAAAGGGAGGGTTTAGGGCTTTAGGGGTTTAGGGGTTCGGGTTCTTTAGAGGGCCTCCTTAAAGGGAGGGTTCACAGCCTAACAGGCACTGGTGCAGGACTTAAAAGATATGATATCACGCAAAACGCAGTTTAACATGATGCAAAAGATGCGATACAAGATAGAGTATGGCATCGTCCAGTCTAGTACATGTTACTGTAATTGTTTATTGAGGGTTCCATGCCCTGCGAGTTGCAGAGATGGGGAGGATCTGCGTCTCGCGGATCCAGCGCAGGTGGCTCCCTACGCGGAGGCACCGAGGGTGAAAAGAAGATCCCAAAGAGTTCGGCTCAGGGGTGGATAGGTGTGTGTAATCTAGGTGCCTATAATAATTACCTGTACTATTTGGGGAGGGGGGTCCTTTTTTCGTAGCTCTAGTGGAATATACCCCAAAACACTACTCTGATTATTAAGGCCACTGTAATAATCGTACTATGCCCGATTTTTGCTGGGAGCTTGGCATTGTGTCCTTGCGTGTTATGGTGACCCAAAGTCTGCGCCTTCCTTCACACAGTCAGCCGGGGTTTCAGGAGGATTAGGATTGCCCGCAATTCCCTAGAGACTCCAATACCCCCTAATTAAGGAATATGCCTTTAATTATAGTAGGACCCCTAATATGATTTAAGGTATATTCCTGAAGTAAGGGACATTGGAGTCTCTGGGATCCCTAAATATGGAGTTTTGTACTTTCGATGAACCCCCTTCTGCAGCTTGCGCAGGCAATCCTGCAGATTCGCCAGCGCCACAAGCGTTCCGTGGCAGTGCGGATTCGGGGTGAACTTCGGGGCTGGCAGCTGGGAGTACTTTAGGGGCCTTAACAATTAGAACAGGGTTTTGGGGTAAATTATACGATACCTATAATATAAGGAACCCCCCAAAATAGTACAGGTAATTCTTAAGGCCCCTATATTGGATCCTTCGGCTCTTTTAGGTCAGCACTGTGTTTCTCTAACCACGGTCGCTCTTTTGGTGTGAGGACACCTCGCAGCCAAAGTTCACCCCTAAACCCTAAAAGCCCTAAACCCCCGAACCCTGAACTGAGCTCCCGAACCCTGAAACCTACTTGGAGGGTCGGGAGACTTAGTAAGTAGGGAATAAGTAGACTTATAAGTACCCTAAAAGGGACCCTAATTGGGGTTATAGTACTTATAAGTCTATAAAATAACCATTTACTAAGTCCCCCGACCCTCCAAGTAAGGCCTCTTCTCCAAAAGGGTTGAGGGGCTTT